AACCTTATATCCGTGCTCACCTCCTCCAGGCCATGGAAGAAGCCTGCCTAGACATATCAGTAGATGCATGCCAGGGGTGGATCAGGCATGCAAGAGGATTTCCCCCCCGCTGCCTAGCTAGGGCCAGTATAGCCTGTGATGTTGACGAGATTCTCTGGCTTGACCCAGAACAAAGATGTGATGCTGGGGCAGAATATTTTTTGTTGTTGTTTGGTGTATTGTACTGTACAGTACATTAAGGAATAAAAAATGTGCAAATATATACACGTGTTCATTATGTGAAAAGTTCCTTGAGGGGGAGAACCACAAGCAACATAACTTATTACTGGTTTTTGTTTTTGTTTTTTGTAGTATTGTTTTGAATTTATCTCATCAGTCTGTAAGACTAGTGTGTGTGTTTTTGAAAGCTTGTGTGTGATATCTGAGGGAAAAGTTAGTTTTTTCAGCAAGAGTGAATGGTTATGAGTGTCGAGCTTCATTTTGACCTGAAAATAGGATGTTTGGGTGAGACGTTATGGATTTGTGTTACTGTTTTGAGAATACAGTATAGTTTCATAGTTTCAAGAAATGTGTTTAAGCAATCGAGAAAAACTGTAATGGCATTACAAAAACTGCATTTCCTGTCATGTCTCAGTTCGACCTGTATAGAACATACAATATGAGATCCATTAAAAAAAAAAAAAAAAATTCAGTCAGCTGAACTCTACATTTTTTTGTGTGTGTGTGTAAATGTGTGGATTCATTTTAGATCATATGTGTACAGCATAGTGAAGGAGTCATCAGTACTTCATGGAATGTAAAAGAAAAGTGACAGAATTGCTGCAATAAAGGCTTTATTGGCTAAATGAAAAATGAAAATGTATGTCTGACAAGGGAGAAGGAGAGGTAGGGGTCAAAGGCAAAGGGCTGTATGACAATATGAATTTAAAAAATATGAATAAAAAAACATACAACCCTTTGCCTTTTGCCCCCTACCTCTCCTTCTCCCTTGTCAGAAAGTCAGAAAAAGCTTTATTACCATGTGTGTTTACAGACACAATGAATTTGACTTGACGACAGGAGCTTCCAGTGCAGAAGAAAGTATGGACATAGTGTAAACATACATGACAGTGCAGACATACACAGGAATTATAACAGTAATTTAAGAAAAACAGAAAACTATGGTCTGAGAGTGGGCTGGGTGTGTGGGGTCCAAAGTAATTTTCTTAGCCCTTTTCCTTACTCTGGAGGTGTACAGATCTTGGAGGTTTGGCCAATAATCATCTCAGCAGCCTTGGCTGTCTGTTGTAGTCTCTTGATGTCTGATTTGGTAGCTGAACCAAACCAGGCAGTCCTGGTCCAACTATTCCTCTCCCTCGTCCAGACATTTTCTTTCTTTTTCTGCTTCTCTGTGTTTTTCTGTATTGTTTTGAACAAAATCAATCCAGAAAGGGCCTTTTTATTGTGCATGGCCATGTAATGGAAGACTTGAAATAATTAATTAAGATTTGAATGAGCTATTTCTCAATTATCAGTAATTAAAATAATTCTTATCAACTCTTTTGTTGCAGAAGTAGAGGCTTTACACTATATTTAAAGTTTGGAACATTAGGTCTTAATTTCTGTCATGCTGTGTTTAAGCATTTGTAAAAAAAGATAACAATGATCCATGATTTTGGTATGGGGTAAGCTTGTATGAATAGAAAATTTAAGCATTTTAGAAACATGTTAATTGACTGAATATTGTGTGAAAAAAACATGAATTTTGTTAATGGTATTTTCACAACAGACGGATGTTTTGCTAATTGTGTTTAGAGTTTTGAAAATGTGATTATAGATTGGACAAAGGGATGTTAGCAATTGAAAAAAACTGTAATATGACGTTCCCTCAAATTAATATCTCGTGGCCACGACATATTATCACAGTTCCCACGAGTTATTATGTCGCTACGGTTTTGTAGTGAACCGACCATGTAACCTCGCGGGCACCGTAGATGTGGCCTTTACGAATGCTTATTTTTTCACGTGGCAGCCTTGCAATTCGCCATGCGTGATCACGGAGCTCCCTGCACGCGCTTTTACAGATTTTTTTACAGTTTTTGCCTATTGCGTGAACACTATAGACACATGCTTAGACCAAAGTAACAAAACTTGAAGCTTTTGTTACTATACCTTAAACACAGTGTAACCATACCTTAAACAAAAGCGCTGCTTTGCACTTCAGTTGCAATTCTGCAACACACTTGCTCCTGCACACTACACACTATTTCATACATAAGACACTTCGTTCATAAATGAAATCTCATGGGTACCATTGGGAAAACACATCTATTCAAAATACAAAACACACTGAGTGATTGAAAACACTTAGAGTTTTGACACAATGAGCCGAAGTTTTGCAAAAAGTGTTCAAGCAATAGGCAAAAACTGTAAAAACATTGTTGTGCAGGGGGGGTTTCTCCTGACGTCTACTATCATCTCCACAGTTTTCAGCGTGTTGAGCTCCAGGTTGTTGTGACTGCACCAGACAGCCAGCTGCTCAACCTCTTGTCTGTAAGCAGACTCGTCGCTGTCCTGGATGAGACCGATGACTGTGGTGTCATCTGCAAACTTCAGGAGTTTGACTTTAGAGTTGCAGTCATTTGTGTAGAGAGAGAAAAGCAGTGGGGAGAGAACACAGCCCTGGGGAGCTCCAGTGCTGATGGTGCGGGTGTTGATGGCTGTGATGTGAGACATTCAGAGTGGGTGTGGGGTGTCAGACCAGGCTTTTTCCTTTCAAACCTGCAGTAAAACTCATTCAGGTCTTCAGCCAGTTGTTGATTGGCCTCAGTGCTGGGGTATGGGGGTCTTGTAGCTGGTGATGACTTGCAGGCCTTTCCACACTAATGTAGTGTCGTTGCTTGAAAGCTGTATTTTTAGCTTTTCGGAGTAGTTTTTCTTTGCCACTCTTATCTCCCTATTTAGTGTGTATTTGGCCTGTTTGTACAAGGCTTTGTCCCCACTCCTGTAGGCGTCCTCTTTGGCCTGGCGAAGCTGTTTGAGTAGTGTATTTGTTAACAGTAGTGTATTTTTTAACATTGCAGCAAACATTTTAATATAATTTGAAAAACAAAATAGTTTAGTCAAAATGTTATAACATTGGGTACAGGGATGATGGTGGAGCGTTTAAAGCTGGAGGGGACTTCACACAGCTCCAGGGATCTGTTGAAGATCAATGTGAAGATGGATGATAGCTGGACAGCACAGGCATGATGCTTTGTTGCTATGACTAGCTGGCAAATACTGTAGCCTACTCAATACCGCCGCTCCCTATAGGCATAGTATGCAGTTTGCGTAGGGCACCAACTCCCAAGGAGGGCACCATCCCAGTTGGTCAAAAAAACAAACAAAAAAAACTTTCGTTCTATATTAATATTAACCTATAACTATGCATAAATAAAAATCTAAACATGAACATATATATTATATATATATTATATTATATATGATTATAAAAAATGCATTTTATGATGAACGCAGTAGGCAATATAAGCACACGTGACGCGCCATTCCCACATCTGTGCCCGCACCCGCGTTCGCTCTCACCTCATGTTTGCGGCTGAATACAAATGATCATCATAATTAATGGACAACTAGGCTATATCAGGGAAAAGACATCAGTGCAGTCCGGCACAGAGAAAAGAAAAAGAAAAAAGCCAGAGATGAAGCCCGTGCATCACTTTCAGGTAACTACGTTCATAAACCTGTGAATCTTTTTTGACTGTTGACGTTAGTAACGTGTTTTAATGTCAGTAATACAGTTTTTCTCAATTGCTAACACACAATTCATGAAACAATTCACCATTTTCACACAACTATAAACACAATCTCAAAACTACGCACCAACTTGCGCAAACTTCAAACTTCCAATAATGAAAGTTCTCTCATCTGAAGTACTGCTACTATGTACTGTAATTATATTGTATGTGTAAGTAGTATTGAAACCTTGTAGATGAGCCTGTAGGCCAACTTACCTCATTCATTCATTCATTCATTTATTCATTCAGCATCCTCTGCCAATTTGCATTACAGTATTGGTAGTATCCTAATTTGTTATAGCATTTTCTACGTCTTCTGACAACAGACTTCTCTGCCTCCCCTAGACAGTCATCTCTCAGTTCTTCACAAATACAGTACATAATAATGAAAGTTCTCTCATCTGAAGTGCTGCTGCTATGTACTGTAAATTATATTGTATGTATTGAAACCTTGTAGATGAGCCTGTAGGCCAACTTCCCGCATGGTCAGTCCATGCAGAAGAACATGGTCAACTATAGTGCTTTGTATTTCATCAGGAACAAATGACCTTTGACCTCATCCCCTTCATTTTTATTTTCCCCTCCTATTCCTCTTTGTTTCCCACTACCAGGATTCATTTGCCAAAACTCATAATCACTTGTGCTCCTGTGCATATTATCCTAAGATTTTGACTGGTGTGTCATCAGTTTTGCTACTGAATGTTCACACATGGATAAATGTGCGCTGTTTGAGTAAATTTTTTGATGCTTGAGTTAATTATATTGTGTGTTTGTGTTTTCTGAATGAGAACATGGTTACACCTGAGCAAAATGATGGCTTTTTTTGTGTAGAGTTTTGCAGAAAACACTGAGCAAATTGGAATGAGTGTGCAAACAGGTGAAATGATAAAAAAATAAAAGTTTTGAGAAACGTGTCTTGGTTTCGAGAACTGTATGAATGGTTTGGAAAATTGGGCCAAATGAATCAGTTATAGTGTGTTAGCAATCGAGAAAAACTGTAAGAAAAAATGTATACATATTTCAACCTCTACATATCAATTTAACAGTATCCTGTGTTACTTCTTTCATCTTCACAATGAGTTTGTAAGAGGGGCTGCTGCTTAAGGGAAATTCTCATTGAACAAATATTTACCTACTTGTGTTATCTATCATCAGCGCAGTAAGACCGTCTACTGGGTTGCAGTGCCCACTTTTGTTCACTAGGGTGAGCCACACATCAATTCTAAACTGTAGAACAGAAGAACCAGGACTATTTATTGATTGATTGATTTATTTATCTTGCAAAGCTTGTATCCTTGCATTATCTCAAATTTAAATTTTAATTTAAATGATCAAATTATATTTAAGAAAAATTATTATATTACTGGAGCCTCATTAAATCATCTCAAATAACAAGTTCATGTAGGGCTGCGTTTCCCAAAAGCTTCGTAAGCCTAAGAAGTTCGTAAAAACGATCGTACGACTGATCTTAATATTACGGTCTGTTTCCCAAAAGCATCGTAACTTAAGTAGCACTTGAAAATCATCGTAGATCTACGAGTGCTCTGGAGCAGTGTTTCCCAACCTTTTTTAAGTCGTGGCACCGTTTGGAAATTTTAACAAACTTGTGGCACCCTACAAAATTAATTTTGTCACAATATTTGAATTTCTAACTTCGATGTGATCATTTGAAAAGTATAGATATTCGGTACAACAGGGAAGAACTGCAGAATATAATGTCATACAGATATTTTTAATATTATAAAAAAAAATGTGTCTATCAATGGTGGCAATCAGTAGACTAATTTCTAATGAAGAGACCAATTTATATGACAGATTATAATGTAGGCTATCCGTGACTAGGCGCAGGGTTCAGCACGCATGTGTTCAGAGGATTAATTGCTAAATTTAATAGAGTAAAAGTTTTATCATTTGTATGTGTTTACAAACTCAATCGATTTTAAAACAGCGCAAGAAGAACAAAGAGCAAACAACACAACAAACACAGCTTTGTCAAAGATTAATCCATGTTAATTTACACAGCGAACACACTCAGAAGAATTGGAGAAACTGACGAAGAATTTCAACATCTGGAAAAGATCCGGGCAGCAATGATAAAAAAAATAAATAAAAAAAAACTCTCCAAAACAAAATTTCCTCACTAAAGCTCTCATCTTTGACAAAGTCCATCATTTATTTTAATTATTATATTGAATTTATTACTGAACAATGGCTTGTTAGATACAGAGAGAGCATGAGCTAATTGAATAGAATATCTTTGTCATTGTACAAGTAACGTTACAATAAGATTTATTTTGAAACTTCCAAATTGATAGTAAAGCTTAAGAATACAAATAATAATAATAATAAGATAGTCGCCTAATATTTGTCAGCAAAAAATAAGACTTCCTCCGTCACCCCCTCCCACCCCTAACACACAGGTGAACAGATAAATTCTTACTACTTCTGCCACCATCAGGTGCCACAATTAACACAAAAAATGTGTACAAAATAATAGAACTATACCTGGTTCTTACAAGAAGGGCAAATAGCTTAGATGTGCAATGCAGCATTAAAACCTAAACAGTACAAACAGAAAACATAATGTAATAAAATGGTAGGGGGTGAATTTATTATTCCATGTACATTTTTGGAGGCAGAGACAGATTGTGGGGGGCACTAATAGGGAAAAACTTAAACTGTTGGAATAAAGAGTTTTAAAGGGTTAGTGATGGAAAACTTGCAGGTCAGTGGGCATCAGTGTTTAAGGTTGGTAAACACGCGTACAGGGATGCATATAATACTACCCGCCTGACATTGGCATGTGTTATTCAGGTGTCAAAGTTGTGCAGAGTTGAAGGAAGAAACCTCAAAGACAGTGCCAGAAGGATGCTGGACAGGTAAAGCCTACAAATCTTGCCACATTAATCAAACACAATTTGAATATTTTAGCCTATATATTCACCATCTATTAGACCTAGGCTATATATGTAGTCGTTTAATAGCGGTCTAATTGATGACTAGTCTATTCTGGGCTATGATTAGACGTCTATGAAATGTTCACTGACAGCCCAAATTTAGCCTTGTTTTAGTCTAGACGTCTGGGCTGTGTTTAGACGTCTTTTAAACGCAAAATTGCTTGCTGGGTACACTCCATCACTTTTTGACATTAAAAAATAGCCTATATTCTATTCAAAAGGCACTTTATTCTATGTTTGTTCATCATATTCAAATCCTTTGCCAGTGTGTGTACTAGAGATGCCGCATCTCAAAACATAGTGAACTGCCTACCTAGAAAAGCATTTTGAAACCTCATAAATGCGCGTTCCGGTTGCTTTGTGAACAGGCAGCTCACAGCCGAGTGTGCATATACCCACCCCGCCTCTCTCCAGCTAATGCCCGCGCCCTGTCAATCTATATCCTTGCTGAGAGAGAGAGGACGGGGGGAAACCGAAACAGAGCGGGTCCAAGGGGGGAAGAGGCGCATGAAAACATCCATGGGTGGCTGTGTGGGCAGTCATCATGAATCTTCAGGCAGTTTAAACGAAAACTCGGACGGAACCGGAGGTAGGAAACGAAGCATTTCCTGGAAAATACGAGTCAAACTGTGCTGTTTCAGGTCTGCGCGGCTTCCCTTTCTCCTTCTCTGCTAGTTAGTGCTTTGAAACATCGTGGTGGGGTTTGCGTCGCTTTGTAAGGCTCGATCACTCCCATCAGAACCGCGCCTGGCAATAGGAATAGTTAAGACTGTGATTTTGT